ACTGAGCTCTGTATTACTGCGCCACGGCACGGAAAATCCTTGTGTTGTTAATGGAATAATCATTGTCTGTAATGCTGCCCGCAGGAACCACCGCGTGTACTGATGAAGTAAGAACCTGTTTTTTGTTTAAACTGAGAGGCTTACAATTTATTTTCTTAACTAGAACTAGACAGGCCAGCTAGGAAACAGGCTAAAAGATAGCAAACAGCCTAAACAACTCCATCATTAATATCACAGGCTTGAAGTAAAGTGTCTACGGTATACTTTACTGTAAAATGGCAACATAAAAGTCTAAAGAATGTCAAATGAAGTATCATCAAACTCAGGCTGAATCCCAAATGGCTCCATACTACCTACCCAGATAGCACATTTGACATACATTCAGATGCGGCCCACATACCACATGGCACAGGAGTGGGCCAGAACCCAGCCTGCTTACTGCCATTACAGGGCCGCATCTCAGCCACCTTTCAGCCACAACTGCCCCACCACTTAAAACCATTAGTACAAAAACCAGACCATTGCAACAACCACCCTGTTGCATAGGAATTTTGCACGATGCCATGAGGCTCAGGGAGAGGTGGTGTTTAACACTCTTGGACTGCTAGCTTTAGACAGGATTTGAACTTATGATTTCCTGATGAAGGAGCAAATGCCTAGCCCACTGCACTACTCAGGTACCTCTAGTTACAACCCTACATGTCCATAATGTTGTTTGATTTAAAATAAGTAACTGCCTGACAGAAAAGTTTAGGTTCAGTGAATTTTAACCTGCCATTTATCTTTGTTGAAATAACAAATAAAATTTCACAGAAGCGAATTTTAGGTTGGGTTTTGATCTGAATGTAAATGCTCCCCCACAGTCCTGCTAATCCCTGTTTAAAATATAAATGATTATAATGTAGCTCATGTCAGCACTGGCAATGTTTCCCAGAAGTAGCCCAGATCTGTTTTGAGGTGTGTGGGCCATAGGAGCATTTTAATATGTGGGCCACTTTTGGCTCACATACAGTTTGCCAGTGCCGACCATGCAATATCTTTGCCAGAAGTGCAGGTCTGCATGCTATCTAAGTAAATAGTGTGCTAGTCATGTAAGTTATGAAATTACAGCTTCTACAGCTGAATAGTCCACTATTTGTCAAGTATGAATGTGGCTGAATCACAAATGACTATTTTAGCTATATTAAGGACTGTTGGGTGCAGGAGCCAGTATTTAAATTCCTAAGTAGTGCACTATGTAGGGAGCAGGGAGCCATTTGAGACTGAGCACGCTGCAGGCGTGAGAAGAGGGGCGCAGTTGGATTGGTGCTATGTAAGACTCGGTGACCAAAAACTCGGTGACGAAAAACTACTTATATATGAAGGCTTTTGCATCAAACAGTGCTGTGTTATCATTTGTTAATTGTTATATGACAAAAAGTTAAAAAGTTCATGAAATGACCGCAGCATACATTGGTGGGCAACCGAACGTTCTTCTTGCAGCAGTCCATAGTTGCTTGGCCACAATATCTTACTCTACAGCAGGGTTTCTCAACCTGTGGGCTGTGGACCACCAGTGGGCTGTGAAGCACCCTCTAGTGGTCCGTGGGCCTGTACTCAGGGGGAAGCAGTAGTCCGTAGTGGGCCGGTAATGGCACTTTAGGTCATAAAACACATAAGTGGAAAAAAGCGTACCTTAGGCCTAATAATTAAAAATTGAATAATTATAAATTATAGCCACTATAAATATTAACAGAGATGTATAAATAAAAAACATCGCAGTCGCAGGCTAATTAAACATCATCGGATTGAGACAACGCAGCCACCGGCGTGCAGAGCAGACAGTGTTTTTTTAACATAACTGCAAATTTAGTTTCTGGGATTGAACGGATATGGACAATCTGATCTTTTCAGGCCCCAATTCAAAGGTTTTTCAGTGTAAGCAATTAAAAGGAAAACTATTTTGTTAAAAAAAGTTGATTTTAGTTTTTCTGTGGGCTGCTATGCTTTATGGTTATAAACAGGTGGGTCTTGGGGTGGAAAAGGTTCAGAACCCCTGCTCTACATTTCTTGGTGGAATACTTGGCTCACAGCCTTGACTCTCACCTCAAAGCTGGGCAGATACACAAAAGATGTGTTGTGACCATGTGATCAAGTTGCAATATATGATGTTTTTCAAGAAAACTTCATAGAAATGTTTTACATAATGACATCATTTTCTGCAAAAAGATTGATCCGATATGACTGATATTGGGGACAAAATTAGGTAAAAAGTGCTCACCCACAACAAAAAATGTTGTTTGACATACTGCCATCTCTGATTTCAAGCATGTTTCAACTTGTGTCCTTTTAACTCATTTTATTTATTTTTTAATCATAAATCTCTCTTAATTATATCTCTCTGCCCTGCTGTTTGTGTTTGTTGTAAGTGGCATGTGAGGGAAATCTGTTACATGATACTACATTTATGCAGAAAATGAAAGGTTTTCATGACATTTCAGTAAACAATTTTTCCTCTAAAGTTTTTTGACATTTATAAAATATCACACATGATCTCCATATTCATAGCCTACATTGACAAATGCTCTGAAGCGTTTTTGCAAAAAATCCTTTGGATAGAAATGTGGCTACTGTTGTGAGGCACCACTCTTATGAAGCACCACAACCTACTTGAGAGATAATAGAGCCCCCTTGTGGAGAATCTTCAGCCTGAGTGAGGGAGGGGGAGAATGAGTGAGGAAGGGAGGGAATGAGTGAGGGAGGGAGGGAATGAGGGAGTGAGTGAGTCAGTGAGGGAGGGAAGAGGGAGGGAATGAGTGAGTGAGGAAGTGATGGAGGGAGGGAGGGAGGGAGGGAGGGTGAGAGGGAATGAGTGAGTGAGTAAGGGAGGGAGGGAATGAGTGAAGGAGGGAGGGAAGAGGGAGTGAGTGCGTGAGTAAGGGAGGGAATGAGTGAGTGAGTGAGTGAGTGTGTGAGTGAGAGAGGGTGGAAGGGAAGGATGGAGGGAGGAAGGGAATAAGTGAATGAGTGAGGGAAGGAGGGAATGAGTGAAGGAGGGAGGGAATGACTGGGCAGTGAGTGACCAAGGGATGGAGGGAGGGAATGAATGAGTGAGTAAGGGAGGGAAGGGGATGGGGAGGGAGGGAGTAAGTGAGTGAGAGAGGGAGGGAATGAGTGAGTGAGGGAATGAGTAAGTGAGTGAAAGAGGGAGGGAGGGAATGAGTGATGGGAGGAATGAATGAGTGAGTGAGAGAGGGAGGGAGGGAAGGAAAGAGTGAGTGAGTGAGTGAGTGAGTGAGTGAGTGAGTGAGTGAGTGAGTGAGTGAGTGAGTGAGTGAGTGAGTGAGAGAAAGAGAGAGGGAGGGAATGAGTGAATGAGTGAGGGGAGGAATGAATGAGTGAGGGGAGGAATGAATGAGTGAGGGGAGGAATGAATGAATGAATGAGTGGGAGAGTGAGTGAGGGAGGGTGGGAGGCCAGGTCCATGAGGTACCTCACATTTAAGTGCAGTAGGTTATTGTTCAGCACTTAAGTAATATAATATGCCAAATAATCTTTTAAGATGTTTAAATATTGTAAATATTGTATTTATTATCTATGCCCATTTACAGCTTTTTAGATTAATGTTCATGTAGAAGGAGCTGCAGTAAAGAGAAACAGCCTCCTCTGCTGACATTTTAGTGTCTGTGGCTCTGTAGACAGGTTGTAGCACTCCACATAAACCTGCTATGCACAGAGCATTATGGACAATAAGCCTCTCCAGCATTCTGCACATTCAGTGATTTCTTCACACAATAAGGCTCTTCACTAATATACACTACTTTTTAATAAGAGATATTCCAGTGTTACAATTCACTGAGTAAAATAAATTTTGCACACTTTGACAGCTCGTAGTATGTTTTATATGTTTTGTATGCTTTGTAGTATGTATAGACTCTTTCTGGACCAGGGCCCAGTTGAAGGCCTCTGTAAATCAGTGACATAACATGTGATTTAATGTATCTTCATCACTGCATAACCTGTGACCTCAGAAAAGTGCCTGTTGTTAGAGATATGTGTGTCTTTATAAGCAGAAACTCTGAGGCTGGTGATAAACATAAGTTTTTTATATTCATTTAAAAGCAGCTAAATTCAAAATCCAGCTGTTTATAGTGAAATATCTTCAGTATTTTTTGCATTTCTCCAGTGGCTGTGTTTGAATGACCAGACATCTTTTAGATCATGTGACTGGGTTGTTATAACAACCAGATAGCAAAGAAATGGAGGTACTGGTGCTAATGGAGAATCAATTTAGAGAGAGAGAGGTACCCAGAGCCATTCCTCAGGGAAACTACTGAATAAAAATGATAATTCAAGTACTTTGGTGTGCCTAAGGTTCTGTCTTACTGAAAGCTTTGAGATCACTGTATAGACTGTATACACTATCTATTCAGAGGCTGTAAACAGTAGGAACCTTTTCCTCACCTGAAGCTGCAAGAGGCCATGTTGATGTTACCAGCATATAAACTCTAGACATCACATGCTAAATTTATCTATGACTGCAAAGAAACTGAAGGACAGTAATGGACTGTAAAAAGAGGCATTAATTTAAATTAGAAGTCAGATTGTACTCATTTAGAAAAAAAAGTACCACCAGAACTGTCCCCATCATATAAACAGTACTTAAAGGTTTCATCTTTGAGAGAGGAGAAAATCAAGCTCCACTCTTGATTCAGATCTGAAAAAAATCCACAATTTTCTGAAAAAAATCCACATATATATATATATATATATATATATATATATATATATATATATATGTGTGTGTGTGTGTGTGTGTGGATACACACACACACACGTTAACCGTGCTGCCATCCTCTCGGTGTTGTTGCTATGAGAGATGCAGGGTCCCGCTTGCTGCTCTCTGATTGGTTGACACGCTGCGCGGCCTCAGCCAATCAGCACGAGGTCCGCTTTAACGAACAATAAAAAATGGTTTTCTAACGGTCTCTCCGCGGCTTCTGTACCCCATTAATTATTCTCTTGTAACGGTGAACGTGTCGTGTGAACGGCAAAAAAAATCACCGAACGGCGCCGTGTTTGTGTCCGGTTTCCTGCTCGGTGCTGTGCAGTGCCGTGTGCAGCAGGCTGGCGCTCCGCTCAGCGATGGCGTAGGGGAGACGGCGCAGGGTCGACAAGATGGAGAAAGGCGGCGACGCGAGGCTCGCCAGTCGCGGTGGAGGATGGGAGTGAGGGCGGCAGAGCGGTGGGTGCTTTTAGCGTTTTCCTTCCTTCGTCGCCGACATTGACTGACATTCGAGATACAGCGGCTGGTTAGCGGCCATGTAAAGCAGCAGCAGCCTCTCTGGTGTGGCTCTGCTAATGCTAACGGCTCTGGGCCAGCAACGTTAATAACGTTACTCTTCATTTTCCAAACCGCCACGTTGAGCTGTACGGTTGTTTTCAAAGCTCTCGAGTTCATCAGCCTCTAGTTGTCTGTGTGTTAAGTTCAGTTTTGGCCGCTGTAGGTTCTTCGCGTTATGAGCCCGTGTTTGCTTTCTGATTTATGCTGTTGTGCAGTGTGTGAGACCAGCAAGCGGAGTCTTCCCTGTTGGTAACGTTAAGACCTGCTGTATTGTGGATTTCCGTAACCAGCGCTCTGACCGCAGTATTAAACTGTCACACATGCACATTTACATGCGTAAATACTCTGCACGTAAGGAGCCCGTGAAGAGAGAGTCAGGCAGATATGACAAATGCATCTGGCAGACAAATGCATCTTAGATATTATTGATTCCTGACTGCATCACTTAAGTTTTTTGTTTCTTGTATGTATTTTCCGTACAGATGGCTGTGGCGGAACATATAAAGAGCGGCATCCTTCTGCAGGTAGGTTAACTTCTGCAGGTCATTCCATGTACTGTTAGAATAGTATGTGAGGGTTATTTACTAGGGGTTCCTGTTGCATCTATAGGAGTCAAACTGCTGACTAGCTCTGTGGGGCTCAGACACATGAAGAAATGATGAAGTTGACAAAACAAATGACCAAAAATCTAGATTCATGATTATTTTAGTAAAATTGCTATTATGTGCCTTGGAGTCTTTTATTTTAAACAGAAAGCTTCTAAATGTGAGAGTATAGTGTTATTGATGAATCCTCTTGATTTTGTGCACACTGAGTTCCATTTTTCTGAAACAAAGAGAAAAATTCAATTTGTGTAGCTTAGTTCATTTTGAGTCAGTTTACTCAGTTCTGTTTTTCCTTTTTCTCAGACTTCCTGATCCTGAGGAGGCAGCAAGGGGGTGTTGGCTTGTGTTGCCACAGCAGCAGTCGTGGAGGAGGAGGAGAAGCGCCTGTTTCGGTGGCGCCACGCCCTGCTGCAGGGTATGGAGTACCACAGCACGGGGACCCTGCCTCTCCTCGGCAGCCCCCGCTACTGCCCTGGGGCCAACAGCGCCAGCGGCTACCTCTGCCAGACCGGCCACTGCTGCGGAGAGACCGGATGCTGCACGTATTACTACGAGCTGTGGTGTGAGTACAGCCGGTTTATATTTCACACACTCTAGATATGGTACAGGAGGGTGGCCACCTCGGTGTTTTCCTTGATCCGGCTGATCAATTAATTAACAAGCTGTTTCTGAGTTGAAGTAGGTTGTAGTAACAGCAGGGAAAACACTACAACTACAGCAGCGAAGTTGAAGTAACTGCAGGGAAAACACTACAGTATGCAAAGCAGGATTACTCAAGGACCAGGGTTGAAAGCCACTGCAATATCATAATACAGTGTCTATTACCTTAGTCAACAGTAAACCCCAGTACCAAAGTTAGGAGACTGTTCCTGTAGATGCTTCACATAAGTTATGGCACTGTAAACTTTCCTAAACTAATCCACCCACAGCGCAGTGGTACAGATAGAGCAGTACAGGAAGTTCTTCTTTATAGTGCATCTGCCAAATGCATTTTATAATATGATTTTTTTTTTTCATTTTATTCACTTTCACCTTAATTACACTTTGTTTACCTGTGTCCTTGTGACTTTGATAGTTTGCTGGCTACTTCTGTCTATCCATCCCTCCATCTGTCTATGTATCTACCTGCGTGTTTCCCTTTACACGCTTCAGTACTGTCAATATCTTATATTATATTATTTTATATTTTATTCAATTTAAGTGCTGATTAACTGGGGTGCTGTTAATTGTCTTTTAAGTTGAATTCTGCCGGGTCCAGTGTATGTGTGTGTGTCTATCCTAACAATCAGCATACATGATTTATATTATCTGCGTATTGCAGGGTTTTGGCTGTTATGGAGTGTGCTCATCCTGTTCAGCTGCTGTTGTGCTTATCGGCACCGGCAGGCTAAGCAGAGAGTGCAGCAGCAGCAGAGGCAGAGAGAGATCAACCTGATGGCCTACCACGGAGCCTGCAGCTACCCATCCTCTATGCTGGACCTCAGTATGATCTCTTACGTCTCTTTTTTTCTTTATCTGTCTTTCCCACTTTTTCTTTTAGCCCCCTCTCAGCCTTAGTTCACTGATAGTATTCACACCACATACTAGTGTATGATGGCCAAAATCTTTTTGAGGCATTTTATTAGACACTATTTAATATTTATAATTATGATATGCAAGTCATAAGATACTGGAATATATGGTGGTATTGCTTTACACACCAAACCAGTTTAACATTGCTTGGAGATGTTTTTCGTGCCACAATCTCCATTTGTTTTCCTCAAACTCACTGCTTTTTCTACTCTTTACACTGAAAGACAAGTAACCTTCCTACCTGTCACACTGATCTGTGCTATTTTGCTACAAATTAATGGCTAGACCTTTACTCCTTTCCCATCTAGCATGTAAATACCATGCTAATAGTGCTAATACCGGATTAAAGAACAGAACAGCATAGTCATTTTAACTTTCTTTCTCCAATGGCAGGTTTCCTTGCTTCGCTAAAACTGCCATCCTATGAAGAAGTAGCAGCCCAACCCAGCACCCCACCCCCTCCCTACAGTTCGGTAGCTTACCCACGAGGCTCTGCCCACCCTGGTCCGAGTCACATGTTGTCCTCCCAGAGTTCTGACAACTACACCAGCTGCTCCTGTGACTCCTGCTGTCCTTCATCCCCCTGTAGCTCCTCCCCCTCCTCTGCCCAGCTCACAGACGAGACCGACACTAGCCACACCTCCACACCTTCCCACAGTGAAGCAGTGCCCATTAACTCCATATCCGTGTTCGCCCACTCAACTGCAGCCTCAGAGGCACATGGTGAGACTGTTTCTACTCCACCCTTCAACGAACCTGGCCCCAACTCTTCATTAAATCGGGCAGAATCAATGGAGGTGGAAATATCGGACTCCACCTCCCTCGACTGCAATGGCAACAGGACTGTTAAAACAGTTACCAATCAAGCAATTAACAACAACAACAAGATCAGTAATGCAGACGAAACCACTAAATCCAATGAAACTATTAATACAGTTCACACTAGTGACATCAGTAATGCTAGTCAGGCCTGCACCATCACTGAAAGTAATGCAACCCAATCCAACATTGCCAATGATATTAGCAGCGTGGGTCAAACATCTAACCCCAGTCCTACCAGAGACACTATGACCAGTAACACCACTGACTTAGGCCTTTTTCAACCACCCAGCAATACATCCCAAAACACCCCTGCCACTCGCCCTTCTGTTGCTGTGCCTCCGTCTTCTCCACCATCCTGTTCTCCTATCTCTCCGCCCTCCCCTTCTCTCCCTCCTCCGTTATTCCCTCTCACTGACCCTTTGGGAGCACTCTCAGAGCAGCAGAGTTCCCCGACAAAGTGGGAGGGCCCTGTGCAAGAACGACCACCCACCCCGCCCCCTCAGTCTCCGCCCAGACCGCTGCTCTTTTCCCCAGACTTCCTGGAGCCGGAGCGGCGGGATTCGGCCGTCTGCGACCTGGATGTGGACCAGACACACTTCCAGCAGCGCCGCCTGACCGGAGACTCCGGCATCGAGGTGTGCCGCTGCCGCATCGATCAAGAGGAAGAAGAGGATGAGGAAGATGAAGAGAGGGATCACTTGGAGGCGGAGGCAACCACCATTCCGAGCGACGGTCTTCATGACAGCGCTGACTGCTCTGTACGAGCCCAGCTGACTCCTGCCACAGGAGATGGGTTAGGGGAGTGGCCAGACATGTGCAGCTCTGCCCCCTCTGCACCAACTAAGGCAGAGGCAGTTGTCATAGCCATGGAAACAATTTGACGGACAGGTGGGCCGTTAGAATCCAGTGTACAAGGGCTGAGTGTGGCTTTAGAGAAAGCAAGTGCTGAGGAAGCCTTTTGCGTTGGGGTTTCGGAAGCCAGTCAGTGTGGAGGAGGAATCCCCCTGGACCGCTGGAGGGAGAATTAGTAAAAGGCAGCAGTCAAGAGTCCAACCAGTTAAAGTAACTTTGCTGCTGCATTAGGACTGGCTTAGGATCATAGAGTGGTTTAGGTAAAACTGTAGCTTGACAGCATAGGAGGGTTCTCTCTGTCTCTGTGTCTCTCTGTCTGTTTCTTTCTCTGTTGTTTTGAGAGAAGGATAAAGATGTTCTCCAGCGCTTAACACAAAGCCCATTTTTCTGCTGACAGACGGACTGATGTCAGAGCCACGGACTCTGCTGAAACACACCCACACACACACAGTAACCATTATGTTTGACCCTGATGTGGGACGGTGGTACAACCATGCCAGCTCATCTGGCCTCCTCTGTGAACACTTCTATATTCTGTAGCAACATTCATAATTCCTTCTCTCTATCTGTCTATCTATTTATCTATCTATCTATCTATCTATCACTCTGTCTCTCTTTTTCCCCCTTTATCTCCCTCTCCTTTGCCCTGCTTTTATTGTAGCCTCTAGCACAGGATCAGAGACCTGTTCCCTGTCCTGTTGAGTGGAGTGTCGTACGCTTTGATAGACTATGAAGCTGCTTGAAATGCTCATGGTTTAAACAATGCCAACAGTAAAGATGCAATAACACAAACACAAACTAGTCATAACTGTCCCGTGTGCCTCTGGGTAATGTAGTTCATGCCAGGGTCAGGCAGCCATTTAGCGCTCGGTGTTAACTGGAGCTTACGGCCGAATGTAAAAGGTCCTTCACAGGTTCACACAAACCAAACATGCACTCGCGCATTCCCGAACACCACAGAACACTCTAGAACACGCAGAAACAGATTGCGTTCTCTTGTTTTTCCAGTGTTTCAGAACACCAGCTTGGCCAAACAGATGCTGCACCTCAAAGCACGGAAGAAGAAAAAAAAAAACCTCAGGACATTGTTTTTGTTCCGTTCTTGATTTTTAATAACATTTTGTTACGTCTTTATGTGAAAACATTTAAACAGCATTGCTCATTGGCAACATGAAAGCAGTCTAAAGACTTAACAGACTCTTTGAACTGCTGTCTACAAAGATGAATATAAATATGGGAAATACGTATACAAATAAATATATATGTAGGTACAGATGATATATATAGATATATATGCTCTCTGTGAAATGATATATATTTTCTAAGCATGCCATTTCATTTGGAGTGCATCACAGTGCTAGAAACTGGTGTAAAATATAATTGAGGCTGAGGGATTGTGTGTATTGACACTAGTGTTACTATGGCATCAGTACTGAGTTACAATTACGTTACTATGGCGTTACCATGGTGCTGCCGTGGCGTTACTATGACAACCTTCTCTAGTCTGAGCAATAGAGTATGTTTGATGTTGATGTGAGACTGTGAAAGGTGTGCAGATGTTATTCTCAATGACTTCAACACTAAAAGAGTCAAGTGAAAAGTTTGCCTCGTCATTTCTATACTGCATGGACCTGTTGATCTGTGATCACCAAATGTGTTTGTATGCATAAGGATACATTCACATTGCAGGGCTTAATGTTCAGTTAAGTTCAGTTTTTTTTTAGATCTGATCTGCTGCGAAGTTTCACATTTGTGTTCGTAAGTGATGCCATTAGTCATTAGTGTGACCACTGGCATTAGAAGTTGCGCATATGAAGGTGACTCAAATTTGATTAGATCAGATCATATTTTTGTGTTAACACATTTCTGAAAAAGTTGGTCACTGACTCAGTCCAGCTCATGAAGGACTTGATAATTAACTGATGATCAGTATCAGATGTGTTGGAGCAGAGAATTAGTTGAAACTCAGGGAAGTGTTCCCAAAGACAGACGTAAATCCAACTGAGACATGTAGTTTTACATGGGAAGGTAAATTACAGGGTAATCAACGTCTGTAATGTTCATGGCCGATTTGCACGGTATAAGAAAAATGTTTTTGAATTACTGGCTAGACAGTTTATTCATTACCGTCAAACAAAAAAGTTACATGTGCAGTATGTTCAGCTGCTCACAAATTGAAAACGTCCACATGTTTAGTTTAATCGTAATTTTTGTAACTCTAACTATCTGTCTAGCTGTCTTGAAGTGAATACAGTATGTCATTAGCTTGGAAAGTTAAGGCCAACAGTCAGCATCGCTGTCATCTTACATTTTAATGTTTTAAGTCATGCATGTGAGGTAGGATAACATATACTGGATTAATGTGGGCCATAGTGAATACAAGTAAATGCTTTTTCGAGTGCTACCTATACTTAAGCAGAAGCATGTAGCCTGTAAAAATTACTGACATGGTATATTCATACATGACCAACATCTCTGTAAACTCCTGTAATAATTACATAACCTCACCTCCCTGTGTAAAACTAATCCCATCCAAAAAGTACCCCAAAAAACACTGCTGTAATGTGAATGTAGTCTTTGTGTATGCAGCATGTTTCATCATGCATGTTTATGTTAATATGCCTGTGTTTAATATTAGGCCAACAGGTTGATAGTGGACCATGATGATTTGGGAGGTTGTAGGGTCACTTCAGCGAGCTGTGCTCAGTGCCGTGGTGTGACTGTGACACTGTAGCGTAGGGGCTGTAGCACCACCCCATAGCGTCCCTGCAGATCAGGCAGAGAAGCCCCTGAGGGGACACTGAAATGAAACCTCTGCAGGAGAAAGCTGACAAACAGGAAGAGCTCCATGCGGGCCAGCGATTCGCCAACGCAAATCCTGGGACCAGCCCCGAAAGGCAGGAAACTGGGTGGGGTTATCTTCTTACCTGTGGCATCAAGGAACCTGTCTGTGTAAGAAAGAGGGAAGAATGATGATCACAAAATGTGCCACATACTCCGGTAATACAGTGCCATGTACACTATTTTGTCCAAAAGTATGTAGACATGTGCTTATCCAATGATTTTTCAGATATCAAGGGTATTAATAGGGAGTTTGTTGCCTGTTTTGGTGCATTAACACTTTATTCTTCTGCGAAGGCTTTACCCTAGATGTTGGAACATTGCTGTGTGCATTTAATTGCATTCAGCCACAAGAGCATGACTGACTTTGAATGATCAGTTCTGGATCATAAATGGCCCTCTAACTCATCCTAAAGGTATTGGATGCTCCAACACCTGAGAGAGCAGTTCTATTGCTCCACAACCCAATGCTGGGGGACTTTGTACCCCTTTAGCCAACGCTTGGCATTGGGCATGGTGACCTTCCTTGACTCCTGTGCAGCTGCTCCAGAGCATCCTTTTCTATTGCCAATGCTTTTCTGTGGAGACTATACAGACTGTGTGCACAGCTGAGCACCTTGGTCACCAATGGGTGCAATTTTTACTAATTAGAAAGTGTGTCTGGACACTTTTGGACATACAATGTCTATATAAGATTGGAAAGATGAGCTGTGGCCTCATTTGCTGAGCCAGTCAACCTGGTTAAATGTGTACAGAGTCTTCTGGGGAACAGCGAACCTCAATATTATTGATTATTATTGATGATATCCTTAATATGGTGTCTTCAATCTTGAGCTAACGTATTGCTTGTAGCTGTAGTGTGAATTCTGGGCACTAATGAAAATCTGAATAATCCATAATCCTGTGCTAATCCATGAACCTGTGACAAGTCATCAAGAAACAAGGCATCCCTTTATAAACAGGCATATTTTTTGTGGTTTCAGGGTGAGTGAGACGTTTGTGCTACCTGGTCTGAAATGATCAGGCTCGTCCCAGTGTTTGGGGTCATGGTGGATCGCCCACATGTTCACCAAAACTCTCGTTCCTTTTGCGACAGCATGGCCTCCCAAACTGCACAGAATAGTAGATTTGGCTTTATTGGATTGTGTAGGAAGGCAGACTTTAATGTGTGCAATACTGCAATACAGCAACTAGGATTTGCATCTAACATTCCGGTCACGGCTGTATCTGTGTGTCTCCATGGTAACCAGAAGTTTGTCCTTTTGGTGGCTACTGTGGTTGCTGCGGCATTGCCATGGTTACCTGGTGTCCTGCATAGCGACATGGGGGATAAGGATAGGACTGACAGGGCGGATCCTCATGACCTCATACAAAACGCTCTCCAGGAATGGCAGATTGGACCTGTCGCTCAAAGAAGGAGGGCGGTCCCTTCCTACATTCTCATCCAGCTCAGCATGAAGACGTTCCTGCACCTTCATCATAAAGATGTAATGCAACGTTTAAGGAGAAATAAGTGACCTTTTTCACACTTGAAATGCATACTCTTCATGAAACACAACTTCTTGCAGTTGAACAATTAGGAGAACTATAGCTCATCCTTTTCCTGCACATTCTCTGTTAACTAGCCCATTATCAGTGGTCAGTTTCTGACCACAGCACTACTTTTTCTACTTTTGGTGGATGATTCTCAGGCCAGCAGTTGCTTAGTAGGGTCCAGCCTAAATAATATCTGATCAGTGGTGGTCTGCTGGTGGTCCCTTTACATTGATGAACAGGGAAAATGGGGGCTGATAAATTGACAGTTAATAATTGTAAACTTATGAAGTACACCTGTACAAAAACAGAGACCCTTTATTTTCATTTATGGTCAAAAAGGCCACTTTTCCACTCGCATAAAGACCTGAATCCTGTTTTTTCCTGAAGCTGAAAAATTAATATCTTGTAATTAATCGGCACTCTGACTTTTGCCCAGTACTATATATGGTTGGAGTTAAGGTGCGAAATGCAGGGGGTTCAGGGGAGGGGGTCTGGAACCCCCTAAATAACCTCTTGGACCCCCTGAATGTCTGGGGAATCCCTGAAAATAAACTTATTATGATGTCATGCTGTCCATTAGGGAAAAACAGACACTCAAATACAAATTCAGGGAAAGGTCATTGTTTAGCGTCCGTCACCCACAATCGGCGAGCTTCTGTCTTTGGTATTCTTAACTAACTAGAGATGCAGCACTGGTCTACCTCAGGGTGGCACTTCAGCACATTGGTTCACCTAGTTGATCCTTCATAGCCTATGACTGTAACTATGCCTGGGATTCCTCTGAAAAACTTTACAATATGCTTAAGTATATTTGTGAATCTGAAAACTTGACCAATTTCCCAAGAGATTAGTGGAAAGAGTGAATTGTTGCTCATTTCTCAAACCGAAGACCAAAGAAGAGACATGCAAGATCCTAATTAATGTGAGGAAGAGCATTTCTAAAACAAGAAGTGTTAAACCAAACATTCTGGTGCCATTGAAGCTAGCATCAGCGCTGCTATGGCGAATGAGTTAGCATGTAGCTGTAGAGCTGTAGTAGCTAGCCAACATGGGTCCCCCTCCAAATACCAGGGAGTGTTTTGCATGCTGGTTGAAACTTATGATCAAATGGTCAGTGAGTGCAGGTACAAGGTTGGAGTAACTAATAACGTAGCAGAACTCAATGTATGTATGTATGTGCATGTGTGTACATGCCTGTGGGTTGTGCAGTAGAAATGCTATAGCCCACAGTAGAGTGGTGGATGTAGTCTCTACTCCAGCTCCAAAAGCTTCAGCTGCTGTCATCAAAACATGATCGTCTGTGATGTCACCCTCCCCAACAGACGCACTCTGACCAATCAGGAGAGCATCCAGGAGGTCACGTGGTTCTCCAGATGTAAGGGTCAACTGCAAAGAAAAAATATTTCAACCTTTTGCACAAAGTCTTGGGTAACTTTGTAGTAAGAAGCATCATTTCTCATTAAAACCGTGAAAAATACTGAATGCTATCAATTGCTCAGATATGTTTGTCTGCATGTTTGTATGTATAGGCTTTACCTTGTGCTCTTCTAGTTTCTTACTTAGCAGTTTGTCCCGGATAGATATACATTCCCTCAGCTTCGCCAGGTCCTTGTTAGGGAAGATCTGTGGAAGTAAATGCAGCAATTTTTTTTTTATTAATTGTGGTCTGTGCTTACATAATCACCTATTCTGAATGAGTAAGATGCCTGTAGGGATTGTCATCCACACTATATGGCCAAATGTATGTGGGCACTTGACCATCACATCTATATGAGCTTGTTGGACATCCCATTCCAAATTCATGGGCCTTAATATGCCCTGCACTTGTCTGAAAAGACTTTCCACATGATTTTGGAGTGTGTTTATAGTAATTCATTCAAAAGAGCATCTGTCCCAAAGGTGTTCACTGGGGTTGACGTTCAGGCTTTATGCAGACTACTGCTGTTCCTCCACACCAAATGTCTTTATGGATCTTGCTTTTGTGCACTGGGGCACTGTCATGAAGGAAGACGTAAGGCCTTCTCCAAACGGCTGCCACAAGTTGGAAGCATATAACTGTCTAAAATGTCTTTGTATGCTGTAGCATTAACATTTCCCTTCACTGGAACTAAAGGTTAGAGCCTAAACCCTATGAAACAGTCCCAGACCATTATGCCTCCTCCACCAAACTTTACTGTTGGCACTATGGATTCTGACATGTGGTATGTAATGTTCTCCTGGCATCCACCAAACCCAGATTCTTCTGTCAGACTGCCAGATAGTGATTCATGATTCATCACTTCAGAGGACATGTTTCCACTGCTCAGGAGTCCAGTGGTGGCATGCTTTACACCACTCTAACTAATGCTTGGCATTGCTTATAGTGATCATAGGCTTGTGTGCAACTACTCAGCCTTGAAAACCCATTTTATGAAGCTCCTGACTCACTGTTATTGTGCTGATGCAGTTTAAAACTCTGTACTGAGTAATGCCACATACAATAGGTGATTTTTACATGCAATGTGCTTCAGCTTTGTGGCTGAGCTGTTGTTACTCCTAGATGCCTCCATTTCATAAGAATAGCACTTACAGTGGACTGGGGCAGATCTAGCAAGGCAGAAATTTCATGAACTGACTTGTGGCAAACGTTGCTTCCAACGGCAGTACCACATTTAAAATCACTGAGCTTTTCAGTATGACTCATTCTACTGCAAATGTTTGTGTATGGATTTTGCATGACAGCTTGATTTTATATGCCTGTTAGCAATGGGTGTGGCTGAAACACGTGAACTCAATAATTGGAGGTCTGTCCACATACTTTTGGCCATAAAGTGTATATATATCAAGCATGCATTAACAGCCTAACCTAAAAATACTGAAGTATTTTTTTAATGTGAGCAACAACACTGTAGATAGGAGACTGAACTATAACATTACATGCACACTCACTCTAATGACTGTACACTATTACAATGTGTATGAATCAAACGCTAGAAGAGTGTAATGTACTATTGATGGCTAGTGTTCCTGACCTCTAGCCAGGGAAAAACATCCACCAGGCTCCCCTGTGCGATGGTCTGGACAATGCCATCATTATAGTCCATGACTTGTTGGAGCTCGGGGTCATGAGAGCGGTATGACGAATTGAAAACCAGCCTGCATACTACATTGGTGACAGCCCGCATCAAGACAGGACATAAATCCACCCGCTGCCCCTTACAGGCCTGAAGGTCCGAACACAAATTTTCTGCTGCGTCTAACACTGCAGACACAGAACCAATGTGATGCGTTTGAACAATGCAGATCTTATTTCCATATTTACAGTGTGTATGGTGTGTGTGGGAGTGTACCGATGGTCTGCAGCTTGCTGGAACCCTCTCCAAACAGAGCGAATGAGGAGTGGACTAATCTGCGATGACACTTCCACAGTGTGCTGTAATCTGCAAAGGCAATGTCTTTCCCTCCTCTCGTCAACAGTGCTGTGGTAACCTTGACAGACCACACACAGGACAAGGCTTCAGCTGATGTGTGTGTGTATGTGTGTGTGTGTGTGTGTGTGTGTGTGTGTGTGTGTGCACATGTGTGTTTGTTTTCTTACATTTTAAGGACAAATATGTCCTGACTTTGTGGAAAATCACAGAAAAACAGGGCTAACCTACAAAGTCAAAAAAGGGTCCTGACTTAGTCAAGTGCTTTTCCCAAAAGCTCCATGTTTCATCGTTGAAAACTAAAATAGTAAAAAAAAAAATTGGTGTGATTGAGGCTAAGGTTATGGTTTAGGTTAAGGTTAAGGGTTAGGTTTATAAAATTGTTATTAGTGCTTAATAAAAAAAAAAAATATGTATGGGGCATATTACATATAGGGAACTATCTATCTATCTATCTATCTATCTATCTATCTCTCTATCTCTCTATCTATCTATCTATCTATCATCATTATCTATCATATATATATATACTATATACATATATATATATATAATATAATATATATATACATATATATATATATATATATATACATATATATATAGAGAGAGAGAGAGAGAGATACTTACATATTGTTACTGTTCAAAGAAAAGCAAGTATCTCCAAAACTTTACAGAAGAGGGCAGAACTTCCTTTACTTGTAAGTTCATGTATTTTATTCCGAAAAAAAAAGAAAAAATTGAGATATGTAAATATATGTAAAATACATATGGGCACATGTAGCATACAGGACGTATTACATAGGTAACTACATATATAAAACGCGTATGGGACATTATTGTCACTTATAGGTAATATAGATATAGATATATATGGAATATTAGATACTTAAGCAAACCAGGCTTAACGATTTATGACACTGTATGTTCATATTTCATGGCTGTTTATTTTATAACTTCTTTCTCCATGCTAAACACTGTTCTGTTTTCGTTTTGCAGCTTCCAGATCACTTCAAACCTTTAATGTTGCACAGATCTAGCTTACGGGAATCACTTTGTACATTTATCTGCAAACAATATGTTATTATATCATATTTCATTAAGCTTCAAAATTCTTATTGAGACAACTTTATCTTCTTCATCAAATCTCTCTTTTCTTTCCAGAAATCGCTGATGGTCAACAGACTCCACTGACCTGATTATTAACAAAACTAGACAAAAGCAGTAACTCACCATTTTGGGCCGTCCAGCGAAGTCCCTGCCCCGGTGCAACAGCACCTCTCTGGCCAGTCCCACCTCACTGACCACCAGCGTGTAGTGCGGCCCCACATACAAGCTGAAGAGTGGCCCGTAGCTGCCAGCCATTTGTGTGAAGAGCAGGTATGAGGGCAGTGGGGACCGCAGGTGCAGCAGACTGCCCAGCACTGGTAATCTGGGCAGACTGGGCACTGTCCGCTCGTTTCTGGAGGACCGGCGCCATCGTAGCATACGTTTTCCCAAAACCAGGATTAGAATAGCAACAAAGCAGCAGAGTAGTAGAGTCGCCGGGGAAACGACTGACTTGATGTCCATAGTGAGTGAGTGTGTGTGAATGTGTGGGTATATATGTGTGATGTGGTTGTCAGTGTAAAGTCTCAGATGATGTTAGTGTACCAAAATGTGTCTAAGATGTATGTAAATGCGTGTAGGTGTGTGTAAATATGTGTAAATGGTTATGCTTTATATAGAGGTGTGTATAAACATGTGCGACTAATCAAAGCTCCAGCTCGGAGTGTTTATAAAGAGTCAGGCCTGAGATGGAGGCGGGATGTTATCAGAACCTTGGGTAGGGGTCAGAAGTCATGGAAACCCTTAGGGGGATTGGCAAGTCATCTGAGGGTCACTAAAGCAGACAAGCATAAAAATGTACTGACAAGCTAATTAGAAAAACCTGCTGATGTAGCGCGAAAGAGACCATCCTCTCTATTTATTTAGTTTCCAGCCAAAATGGCCTTTAAGTGCAAGTTTTTCATGTTTCTGTTCATCCTTGCACTGTGAGAAGACAACTCAATGCTATTGCTCTGTGAAAGGATGTGTAGCTGTCTAGAAGCCCTTATAAGAAAAGAAATAGACACATTTGCAAATCAAACAAAGAAGCTACTGGTGTTCTCAGAACAATGAACTGTCCATCACAGAGTCCAGACCTCAACATTGGTGAATGTGTTTGGGATTATTTGGATTGTGAGAAGCAGAAAATGCAATCAACTTCTAAGACAGAACTTTAGAGGTGTGGAAAAATAATATATATATATATATATATATATATATATATTCCTGCAGATTTCTTTAAAAAACTGAATGTGAATCTCTTGAAAAGAATGGAAGCCGTAATAAAGGCAAGGAGTGGACACACTTTATACTGGACAATTTAAATTAGCGAGTAATTTACTGTAGTTTTACAGTGATTTTTACAGTGTGCTGTATAAGTAGTTTCTTTTCGACTTTGGAGAGTTGCTTCATGGCTAAAGCCGCACCAGCCTTGAACACCGTCCTTTACTCAAGATCCAAGGCTGGAGAGCTGAACAAAACTGTGTGTGTGTGTGTGTGTTCTTTGGGCCAGAAATATTGCAGGACCAACTAAGTGGAAATAGGAAAAATATAAGATATTCATTTGAGCTATAAACTACATACAGAGGCCCCCAAAAATATTTAGACACTTTTAATTTAGGCACAGTTTAACCATCAGTACACTTCAATGAAGGTCATAAAATGTTTTAAAAAATGACATTTTTTTCCAGAGAAAAACACGTTTAACATCAAACTGATGGTAGACTCTTTGTATGGAGAAACACTGGAGGAGGATTCCAACCACACTGCACTGAGGATACACTGTAAAAAAGAGAAAATGCTGCAAAATTACAGTAAAATTTTGCTTTTAGTCCCATCGTTCCATATTAACAGTAAATAACAGTAAAATGGCAACTGTATACTGTGACTTCACGTCACCTGAACCCCAAGATTACTGTGATGTAGTTTTATTGTCCTGTATTTTCTACACCTTATAACTTGTTTCAGTAAATGTAAAAGTAATGCATCTCTGTAGACAGTTATTTCCTGTAAATTTACATGTGAAAAAAACAGACCTATAAATGTTATAAATTTTTATTGGCATAGACTTAACTGAAATCAAAAACAGTGTCAATGAGCATAATTATTCACCATGTTTTGCACCGAACAATAGTAAGCATTTTTACTGTGATAAATTAGTGTTAAATATGCTGAAATCCATCCTGCCTTCTGCCCAATGACTGCTGGGATGGGCTCCATTTTAGGCTCCATTACACATTATGAACTTACTTTTTAGGATGGCACAAATGTTTCAAATGTTCTTCAAATCTTTCTGGGGCCACAGTATGTATCCTGCAAGATTTTCTGTCTAAAAGCTTCATTCCTCCATTTTTGCTCTTTCACGTGTTCCTCTCACACACACAGTTTTGTCCAGCCATCCAGTCTTGGATCTTCAGTAAAGGACAGTGTTCAAGGCTGGTGCAGCTTTAGCCACAGAGTAACTCTCCAAAGCCTGAAAGAAACTATTTCTACAGCTCTCACTCTGCCACTCTCTTCTCTCGTCTCCATCTGCTTTATGTCAGATGTTCCTCAGTCTCTGGTGTCAGAGCAGTGTGCGCTTCTGACGCACGATTGTTATGACAGTAAATATGCATGTGCCAGACTCACTTGCATGGTCAAGACCACAAAGCTCTTAGATAAAATTCACCTACACACACACACAATCTTATTTATGTGAATTGTGGGGCCATAACATAGACTTCCATTCATTTCCAGGAGTCTTATCCAAACTTTAACCAGTATTACTACTAACTTAACTGTAACCATTACCCCAACCCTAACCCTAACCTTAACCTTACCCTAACCTTAAAATTTAATGACTAACATTGTGGGGACCAGCTTGTGGTCACAACGTGAGTGTATTAACAGGATTTGGTCCCCACAATGTAGCATAAACCTAGTCAACACACAAACACACACAGAGATACATGATTATTGTTTTGAGTGGTTGAGTGTGGATATTGGAGCTAGACCTTTAATTCAGGTTATAAATAAAAAACTCAGTTTAATTTCTGCTAGTTAACACTGCACAGACATTACAGCGAATCAAAACTCACTAACTGTTGGCCGCTTTGCAGGTGTGTCACTGAAAGATGAGTAAGTTTAGCTGTCAAGCAGAGTTCTGTGCCCTGATGAAACACAGGTGAGACATTCCATTTAAATATGTGAACTAATGTAAAAATCTCCTGCTGGTTTCTCCTCCATCTTCTATCAACACTGATTTCAGCGTGTAGTTTGATTGTGGATGTGACACATGACGTAGCACACCGCAGCACTTTTTAACAATCTGATGGTGGGGGAAACTCCTTCTTATTTGCACAAAGTTGAGAAAAGACTTAGGACTCAGGCCTAGAGTGATGTTCTTACGGGTGCATCTCACCCTTTGTTAAACCCTATCACTATCATGCCTTATTTAATGGTGAGTGGTATAACTGACACGTTAACACTTCAGTTCAGCTCCTGAAGCCCTAACCAATGGGAGATCTAGCTTGGCTGTATCTGCTTGGCAATTCAAGATTTCAGTCCTTTTGTTTCAAACCAAAACAAGAGAAATAAGAGAATTAGTACAACACCTGGGTTGTTTACATGCAAGAAGCATGATAATACCATTAAATACAAATAATCTAAAAATTACACACATTTATTTCAAAGAAATCATTAGGCCTTGAAGTCTCTACTGATGTTTTCTTTATTTGTATAATATGTAGGTCTAGATGTTACTTGCAGTGCATTGGGAATACAAATGTACATTTTCAGTCAATAAAGCAAATATTGAATTGAGCGAAGAGAGAGAGAGAGAGAGAGAGAGAGAGAGAGAGAGAGAGAGAGAGGTCTGAGGGATGAATGTTTGTGTGCTCTAAATATAACTCAGTGTGTCAGAGAGACTGGGATGCTCACATGGAGGTGGAGAGAGAGAGAGAGAGAGAGAGAGAGAGAGAGAGAGAGAGAGAGAGAGAGAGATACAGCACACACATTTATCTCCATAGTAGAATAAGGCTGATCTAGGATCAGATTCTAGCCCTGATTTCAGATCAGCTGTACTAAAAGAAAGTACACTGTCCTCCAATAAGAAGTGAGAAGTGTCCTTTTGGAGTGTATGCTGAAGTGAACACAGCTAAATCCCCAGCGCTGGAGAAACGCCCAAAGTGTTTATCTAAGTCCAGCTGGACACGAATGAACACTGGAGGAGTGAACGCAAGACTGAGAGATTTAAAGGAACAGTCCAGCTTTTCTCAGCCTGATCTCTCTGTCTGCCACATCTGTATCCGCTAATTACCACAGCCAATAAAAGCAACGCCTTTCCCTGCACTTAGAAAGACACGGAAACCTGTGGACTTCAAGCTCACTTATAACTGAAACCTATGGGCGGGGGCAAGTTAATGCACGGGCTTACCTAGGCTGAAGCCCAGGGGCCCCGTAATTCAGGGCCTCTGATTGCTGTAGCGATTTGTTTATTCCCCCTACCCACATTGATAACAGGTCTACCCAATCAAATGTGCAGAATATGTAAAAGAATATTTATCAAAACTACTTTTCAATGAAATAAAATTTGACTTGTTTTTTGTGAGTGCCATCATTGTATTATGACCAATCAAATTATTATATCTCCGCCAAGCTCCGCCCTCTTTTCGCAGCCCTCCAATCACTGCGCAGTAACCGTTGCAGCAACCGTTTGCTTTAGCTCCAATTCTTTAGCTACCTACAAAAGCTTAAGCTGAAGTTTATCTCAAGTTTAGTGCACATTTCAAACCTTCAAGCATGGCTTTTAGCATTTTGGTTCTGGGTTTAAGTTTAGTGAGGCTGAAACTGGCTTCCCGTTTGCCAGGTTCGTTTTCGAATTCTCAGTTCCACCTTAAACGGTGCAGCAGTCGCAGGCGCCACAACACAACTGCGGCATTATTTAAGGTATAACGGAAAGTTCGAAAAAGAACTGACGGAGAAAATTTAAAAGGCAAAATTCGGCTTCGTTTGAGTTTGTGCAGTAAAGGAAAGATGATAAATGATAGTGCTGGAAGTCAGTGGCAGTGTGTGCACCTTCATCAAAAACAAAGGTTTGGAGTTTTGGGGCGCTGTTTGTATCTAAACCCGTAAGACCCACGACCACCTGTAGCCCCAGCCCCACCCCCCACAATTCCGAGGGAAAACATTAGAAATATATGACTATAAAACACAAATCGAAACTAGAAATAGTAAGACATGTCATGATTACGAGAGAATGTCTTACCAAAGATTTTCTAATGACGTTTTCTCCAACTTTTGAACACAAGAACCGAATTCACTTTCTCTAAGAATTAATTGTATCCATGGCGATAATGGCGCCCACACCACTGCACTGGTAAAGTGTTAGCATAAATCCATCCCTCTGGAAAACTAGTGCCATCTCTGAAAGACCGAATTATGCAGATTTAGTGCTTAATTCTCCTCTTACTGCAGAATCTACCAAAGTGTTCTGCAAATATGGAAATGTTTTGTAAACATTTACTGTCAGACACCACTAAGTGTGTTTCAGTCAAGTACAGGAGAATGTGCTGATATTCTCTGTGGTGATCGGTCGTACAGAGAACCCGCATTAGATGGAGATTAGGTCGAAGTGTTCCTTTAATGTACCTCTTTCGCTCTGATAGAGGTTCTACATTAGATCAGATCACATTCCTACAGATGCGGTCAAGTGAGCTCATACAGATGCTGCTGTTTCAGTGCGCGCGCTGTGGGTGGCACGAGCACATCAACCTGATCAGCTCGCAGATCTAAGACTGAATATAAGCGCTTCATTTTCACAGCCTTTAACTGTTGCCTATAATTAGTCCCCTCGCTGTGAGAGGCTGATGAGCACAGAGTGGCT